AAAAAAAGATGAGTGTGGATGGGAGAGTTGGAAGGGGTCGACCTCAGCGAACGTACCTCAATCAGATTGAGGACGTTTTTAGCAAAGGCCAGCTTAGGAGTACCCTAATTAAGTTAATAACAATGTACCTACCTATATAGTTTCAGTTTAAAAAATTTGGCTCTCAAAAGAAATTTCAATCGTTGTACTGTTGATATTTGGCTCTGTTGACTAATGAGTTTGCTGAGCACTGGTCTAAGGACTCACAAGGCTCAACTCTACCTGCAGAATATTATGTTATTCTCTGGCCTGGACAATTGTGTCCCAACTCTGATATCTGACAGTTATTTAGTGGTTTTTGAATGTGGAATAAGGAAGTGATGTGTCCAAAACAAATCGTTTCAGTGGAGAAAACAGTCCAATTTTAACACTCACTCATCCATCTTATAAAAGTTGTCCGACACATTCATGCCCTGTTGTGTACAACAGACATTATGTAGGGAGATGCATATAAGGTTCTCTTCGTTCTAAATTAACGCGTGTCTTTAGTCTAACCGTTTCGCTGCATTTAATAACCTAAAATAGCTTTTGCAATATGGGATAAGGTTTTTCTGGGAAGTTAACATCGTCCTCTCATGCGATCCCTCTGCCGTGATGTTATAAAAGAACACCAGATGTTCTGTTCTGCAGATAATTCCCGGCTAAGGGAACCTTCACCTGTGCGGATGACGTCAGGCGTCGGGACATTTGAGGTTTGGCAGCTGCTCTCTGATGTAGGAACTGGTCAAGAGCTCTGTGTGTGGCTCACTGGGGGGCCATTAAGCGCAATTATGGGAAGGAGTGAATTACCTTCTCTCCCACTTGATGTGTATCCGTGGGGCTGTGTATGGCACTGTGTGTGGTTTGCAAAACCTGGGTCTGTAGTTGCGTGGCAGATAATATGTATTCTGATAAAGGAAGCAAGAAAGTGTGTGTGTGTGTGTGTGGGCAAGTGATGGGGAGCAGTTGAGTCAAGTAATTATTCTTTTTTTAACTATATTTTTTAATTGATTTCAGAGAGGAAGGGAAAGAGATAAGAACATCCATGACGAGAGAGAATCATGTATCGGCTGCCTCCTGCACGCCCCCTACTGGGGATCCAGCCCACAACCCTAGCATGTGCCCTGACTGGGAATCGAACCGTGACCTCCTGGTTCATAGGTTGATGCTCAACCACTGAGCCACACCGGCCGGGCCCGTCAAGTAGTTACTGATTGAGTCCTGTCACCAAAGAAGCTGGTGCCTTCAGCATCCAGCGTATGGCATCTGCCTAACTCTAACCATGATCAGACCCCCTCAACATGACCAACCTACGTCCATCTTCTCTTCCAGCCCAACCGTTAGGAAGTCATCTTGTCTGTGGCCTCCATGGCTGCCTTACCCCCTCCCTTTTGGACCGAGTCAGATTCTCTAGCCCCTAAAGCCACCCAAACAGATCATACCGAGATCACCAGTCATCTCTGTTCTACCACATTGGTGGGCTCAGGACTCATGGCAGCTAACCTGCAAACTTGTGATGTTCTTGACCACTTCCTTTACAGAACGCCCTTCCTTTGTCTTGTTTTATTTGTCTTAAGGTGACACCACGCTTCTCCCACCCGCTCTCTAGCTGTGTTAGTTATTTTTAATTTTTTTAGTCTCCTTTGCAAGTTGAGCAGACTGTGAGGTGCCGGAGTTCCTTCAAGCTCATTCCTGTCTTTTCAGTTTTATGCGCTTCTCGGCATTTCCACGCCTCCCGTTAGCGTCTGAATGCCAGTCCCATCTCTGCAAAGTCTATTCTAGACCCCACCTCCCTCTTAGCTCCGCTATCATGTGCTCAGCTGCCAACGTGGCTTCTCCACTTGAACTTCCCAAACAAGAAGCCAGCACTGAGCTCAGAATAGCCCTTTAAGTTGGGCGTCTGAGCGAATGGTCCTGCTGCTCTTCAGTGGAGCTGGGCTCAGTCCGGACACTTCCCTCTCTCTCACTCTCCTCACTGAGTTCTGTCAACTCAACATGATGGCTGTTTCTCAGGACCTATCCTCTTTTCTTTACTGATCGAACAAGGAGGAAGCTGAAGAACATAGATCTAATCAATACAGTCAATCAGTTTCAATTAATTGACATGCACAGAGCCCAGCAGCTGCAGAATTAACTGTAAGCTGTGCCAGAAAAAAGGCCTCCAACTGCAGAGGAATGAAAACATAGGGATTTTCCCTCCCTGACTTAATCCTTAGGAGAAAATCCGTTATGTTTTAGAAATTAAGCACTACAAAAAAACATCCTGTATGTCCCATAGAACTCAAAATGAAATGTAGGAAATATATATTCTTTAAAATATATTTTTGTTGATTTCAGAGAGCAAGGGAGAGAGATGGAAACATCAATGATGAGAGAGAATCATGGATCGGCAACCTCCTGCACACCCCCTGCTGGGGATCGAGCCCACAACCCGGGCATGTGCCCTTGACTGGGAATTGAACCATGACTTCTTAGTTCATAGGTTGACGTTCAACCACTGAGCAACACCATCTAGGTGGAAATATTTTTTTTAAAAATATATCTTTAGCCGAAACCGGTTTGGCTCAGTGGATAGAGCGTCGGCCTGCAGACTGAAAGGTCCCAGGTTCGATTCCGGTCAAGGGCATGTACCTGGGTTGCGGGCACATCCCCAGTAGGAGATGTGCAGGAGGCAGCTGATCGATGTTTCTCTCTCATCGATGTTTCTAACTCTCTATCTCTCTCCCTTCCTCTCTGTAAAAAATCAATAAAATATATTTAAAAAATATATATATATCTTTATTGATATCAGAAAGGAAGGAAGAGGGAAAGTGAGATAGATACATCAATGATGAGAGAGAATCATTGATCAGGTGCCTCTTGCACGCTCCCCACTGAGGATTGAGCCCGCAACCCAGGCATGTGCCCTTTCACTGGAATCGAACCCAGGACCCTTCCGTCCGTACGCCAACGCTCTATCCACTGACCCAAACCAGCTAGGGCAAGGTGGAAATATTTTTAATTAAATGGTAATGAAAATACGACATATCAAAAGTTGCAGGATGCAACACACTTAGTACTTAGAGGGAAATTTATAGTATTAAATTCATAAATGAGAAAATAATACTGTCTGACCATCTGTATCTAATTCTTCATGTCAAGAATTTTAAAAAAGAATAGCCAATCAACACCAAGAGTATAGAAACAAATGGTAAAAATGAGAACATAAATCAATAAATAAAATCATAGGAATCTGTGTCACTGAAGAAGTCCAGTGCACATAACTTAAGTCAGCGGTTCTCAACCTGTGGGTCACGACCCCTTTGGGGGTCGAACGACCCTTTCACAGGGGTCGCCTAAGACCATCGGAAAACGCATATATAACTACATACTGTTTTTGTGATTAATCACTATGCTTTAATGATGTTCACTTTGTCACAATGAAAATACATCCTGCATATCAGATATTTACATGACGGTTCATAACAGTAGCAACATGACAGTTATGAAGTAGCAACGAAAATAATTTATGGTTGGGGGTCACCACAACATGAGGAACTGTGTGAAAGGGTCGCGGCATTAGGAAGGTTGAGAACCACTGACTTAAGCTGTTGGTATTTCCCGACCCCTCCCCTTTCTTGAGTTTCTTGCTTAGATAGTGGTTGTGGTCCAGATTCCCTCAGAAACGTGGGCTGGTATTGAAAAGGTTTCTCTTTCTCCCGTTTGGCCTATTGCGAGCAGCCAGCTGGGAGGATGTCTGGGGTAGAACCATACGGATTGAAACTCCCATTAGGCGCCGTGGCTTGGGGCCGCTTCCTGTACAGACCTCGTTCCGCCCTCGGTGGTTTGAGGAAGTGGATTGCTTATTGTCCCTCCATAAATGAAAACCGGGTAGTGTAGGTTTCTTGTTTTATAGAGAGATTCTGCTTCTAGTGCTGCTGGGTGAGGAGAATAGAGAACGTTTTTGTACATGTTGGTGGGAATATAAATTTGTATAGTTATGGAAAACAGTAAGGGATTTCCTTAAAATATTAACAAGTAGCCCTAGCCGGTTTGGCTCAGTGGATAGAGCATCAGCCTGTGGACCAAAGGGTCCCGGGTTTGATTCTGGCCAAGGGCATGTACCTCGGTTGCAGGCTCCTCCCTGGCCCGGGCCATGGTCGGGGTTTGTACAGGAGGCAACTAATCCATGTGTTTCTTTCACATCAGTATTTCTCTTTGTCTTTCCCTCTAGCTTCCATGTTCTCTAAAAATCAATGGAAAAATATCCTTAGGTGAGGATTTAAAAAAAGTTAAAAAATAACACATTAAAAGTATATATACCGTATAATCCAGCTCCCCCTTTTCTGAGTTTTTATCCAAAGGAAATGAGCTCAGTATCTCGAAGTGATATCTGCACTCCCTTGTCCATTGCAGCTTTATCCACAGTAGTCAAAATGCAGAAACGACTTCAGTATCCATCAAGGGATGAATGGATAAACAAAATGTGTTACATATACTGGGTGGGAAAAGTAGGTTTACAGTTGTTCGTATGGAAAAGAATACAATAATTAATAGTAATACAAGAATAAATTCTGTTCTGCATACTCAAAACTGTAAACCTATTTTTGCCCTCCCCTGTATATACAGTGGAATATTATATACCCATGAAAAAGAAGGGAACTCTTCCATTTGCAACAGAATGTATGGACCTGGAGGGCATTATGCTGAGTGAAATGAGCCATCTTTCTATGAAGCATTTATATGTATGTGTGTGTTTCAACCGAATCATTTCATTCATTGCTTTAACTTTTCTATAACTTCTTCAATTAAAAAAAACAAATCTTTAAAAATTCAGTTCTCTAAGCTTTTCCTGATCTCTGTAGATGTGACCAATCAGATGCTTCTTCCATCTCAATCACTTACCGGAAAGGGTACAATTTTTGAGTTACCTTTCCCATTTTCCTGGGCCCTGACGCCACAGAGACATTTCAAGTCCCTTCTCCTTATGTTCTGTTTTCTAGGTGTCACTGAGCTCTGCAGGGGAGGCGGCCTCTTTCGCGGAGCCACTTCCGGGGTCTTCATGCAGCCATGGATCTGGATAAACCCTCCGTCTGGGGCTCCTTCAAACAGCGGACCAGGCCTTTGCTGCTCAACCTGAGCAAAAAGAAGGTGAAGAAGCACCCCGACAAACCCCCAGACTTAGGGGGGCGGCATCGCCTGGATCGCCGCCTCAGCCTCTCGGTCCCTGACCTCCTGGAGGCCCAGGCCTTGGCCCCGGAGGGTGGGCCGTACTCCGGGGCCCAGTCGTCCTACACCTCCGTGCCCAGCAGCCTGTCCACAGCAGGGATCATGTCCAAGAGCTGCAGCAGCTCCTTGAAACAGTCGGAAGAAGAGCTGGACTGGAGCCAGGAAGAGGCAGGCCACCTGCACACGGCGGATACGGACTCTGAGGAGACCTTCGCCTCGCCGGCCGCGGACAGGAGGGCTTCCAGCAATGGCCTCTTTGATCTGCTCCAGAAGGCGCCCCCGGAAGAGGATGCTCCGGAGGATCCAGAGGTGAGGCCCGGGCCAGCACCATCCATCCCATTGCTTTTTTCCTTCTTATTTATCTACTAGAAGTCTCAGTGCACAAAATTCGTGCACAGGTAGGGTCCCTATGCCAGTTGGCGCCTCCCTTTGTTCCCTGCTGCCCCCTGGTGGTCAGTGCACATCATAGCGAGTGATGGAACTCCCAGTTGGTTGAACTCCGGAGGGGACACTTTGCATGTTAGGCTTTTATAGAGAGAGCTATTTATTTAATTTTTAAAAATATTTTTATTGGTTTCTGAGAGGAAGGGAGAGGGGGAGAGAGAGAGAGAAGCATCATTGATGAGAAAGAATCACTGATAGGCTCCCTCCTGCACGCCCCCTACTGGGGATGGAGCCCCCAACCTGGGCATGTACCCTGACCGGGAATCGAACCATGACCTCCTGGTTCACAGGTCAATGCTCAGCCACGGAGCCATGCCAGCCAGGCTATTTTTATGTTATTTTAATCAATTTATTTATCTATTTTTATATTTGTTTATTTGTGAATTTATCTTTCTTGGTGAAGTATTACATATGTCCCCTTCTTCCCCCCATTAACCCCTTCTAGCCCATCCCCGCCCCCATTCCCTGCCCAGGCCCTCACCACACAATAATCTGTGTGCTTTTTTCCTCTTTTTCATTGCACCGGGTGCCCTTGGTGGGAAACCAGATGAGGAGTTATTTCCGTGGTTAGCTTGGGTGGAGACAGTGTCATTTACAAGAATTTAAATGATCGGTGTATTGATCGCACCAAGTGTTCCCATCAGTTTTGGGGTTGACCTCTGTGTATTTTGAAACTATTACAAAAACCCTTTCTCGGACACTTTAAGGCATTAAAAGCCCTATTGGATGAGTTTTCCTTTTTTTCCATCTCCTGGCAAAGAAAGTAAGAGCATCACTTTTCCTCTAAATTTGCTAAGTGTGTGTCTGTCTGTCCCTATCTCTCTCTCTCTCTCTCTCCCTCTCCCTCTCCCTCTCTACCATTGCCTAGTCCTAACGTAGAGAAAACATGCGTATTACTGCTCCTAGAAATGTATGGATGTATGTTTCCCTTTGACTTCCAAGGAGTTTGAATTATGTTCTATTTCATACACATGTACACGCATGTGTGTGTGTGTGTGTGTGTGTTGTGTGCACTTACCTGTGGGCAACTTCACGTGCATTCTCTAAAAAAAACCAAAAAACAAAACTAAAGGAAACAAATTCTTACCAATATAGTGATTTTACAAGGCCTCAGTATTTCAATCAGCTAAAACAGCCAAATAGAATTATGAGGCAAATCTTACATTTCTCAGAAGAGTTTAATGTAAGTATAATCACCAGATTATTAAGTCATGGTTTGATGATCTCTTTAATCAGATTTTGAAAAATTCCTCCATTAAAGGTACCGAAGTAGGTTGCAGTGTTGAGGAAAGGGGTTAAATTTTCTCTGTTCCAGGTCATTGTGATAACTGCTTAGAAAGCTGGTTATTCCACTGGGATTTTTCATTTTACTTTTGGAACCAAAGCCTATTAATTATGTCATGTATTTCCCTTTATGTTATTTTATTATTTTATTTTTTATCCTCACTGGAGGATATTTTTTCTATTGATTTTTAGAAAGAGTGGGAGGGAAGATAGAGAGAGAGAGAGAAACATGGATCTGAGCAAGGCACATCGATTGGTTGCCTCCTGCACACACTCCCACCAGGGCCTGGGAACGAACCTGCAACCCAGCTTCATGCCCTTGACTGGAACCCGTGACCCTTCCTGCACCGTCAGGTGCTCTAACCACCGAGCAACACCAGCCAGGGCCATATATTTCACTTTAATTGGGGAATGGCATCGTGGCTCTTCAGAGGATGTGGTTCGATTCACTTGGAAGCGTTACTATATTAAGACACCACTACCCATTAAATGATTCCACTTAACTCTTTTTTTCATTGCCATCAACACTTAGGAAATCCTTTCTGTAACAATTTTATGCTTGTTACTGTACCTATACATTGGAAATACGTGTTTCCACTAATCAAAATAGAAATTAAGTGAATTATTAAACTAGGTCAGTAGGAAGGAGGTCACAGGTTGAATAATGGACCTACGTGAATCTTGGCTCCTTGTTACTTATGACTTAACTAGAGGCCCAGTGCACGTAATTCGTGCACCGGTAGGGTCCCTAGTGGCTGCCAGCTGCTGGCCAGGGCCCCCTTCCCCCGGCTGCCGGACCTGCCCCCCCCCTCGAACTCCCAGTTGAGGAGAAAATTTGCATATTAGGCTTTTATTATATAGGATGGGCTTCTTGGCTTAGATATACTAACAAACTCCAATTGGAATCCAGAGCTGGCGATCAAAACAAAATTGGTTATCAAAAGAACTCATTATTTTTCTGTGTCCACTGTGCCCTTTTAAAAGCAGGGAAAGCCGGGCCGGTGTGACTCAGTGGTTGAGTGTCGACTTACCCACTGAGAGGTTGCCAGTTTGGTTCCTGGCCAGGGCACATGCTCAGGTTGGGGGCTGATCCCCAGTAGGGGGTGGGGGGGCGTGCAGGAGGCAGCCAATGGATGATGTTTCTCTCTCATCATTGATGAGTCTTTCTCTTTCTCTCTCTTCCTTCCTCCTCTTTCTCTAAAATCAGTAAAAAATAATAATAATAAAAGCAGGGATAATGATAGTGTTTGAATGGGCATTTCATCATGATCAATAACTAATAATCATGAACGGGAGGATCATTGCCTCTCCATCCTCCCTCCCCATGCCATCTTCCCATGGGGCACATCCTCCCCTCATGTTTTACTTGCAGTCGGAGTTTTAAACTACTAGCTTCGGCGCTCGCTTCTGTGGATGAGTTGAGCGGGTGAGAAAAGAACCCTGGTGGGATATTTCTAGAAGCTGCTGGGCAACCGCGGAGCTTCAGTTTAGTGACCACAGAGACGCACAGTGACAAACCACGGAGGAGAGACAGCCTGCAGCTCGCGGAATGGGACAAGCACGTCATTCGCTGCCCACATCAATCACGTGTTCTTTGACTATTTTTGTTCCAGCTCAGAAATCATTACTCAACTTCATGGTGTTCCTGCCACAGGCGTGTCAGCCGTACCCCACGTCCCCTCCTCGAGCGCCTGGCCTCTTTTTCCTGCTCCCCTCTCTCCTTCCCAGCTGTTGAGCACCTACCATGCGCTGATCCTGGGAACACGGCCGTCAACAGAGCAGACAAAAACCCACTTCTTCATGAAGACCCTATTTTGAGCGGTGGCAGGCTACAGATATTTTCAGAGCAGTCAATTCAATGGAGAAAAATAATGCAGGAAAGGAGATTGGGGGTGCTGGGGCAGAGGTTTTCAGTTGTTTTTTAAAAATATATTTTATTGATTTTTTTACAGAGAGGAAGGGAGAGGGATAGAGAGTTAGAAACATCGACGAGAGAGAAACATCAATCAGCTGCTTCCTGCACACCCCCTACCAGGGATGTGCCCGCAACCAAGGTACATGCCCTTGACTGGAATCGAACCTGGGACCCTTCAGTCCGCAGGGCTACACTCTGTCCACCGAGCCAAACCGGCCAGGGCGAGGTGTTCAGTTTTTAACAGAACAGCTAGGAAAGGCCGCTTCTGAGATGTAACATTTAAGAAAAGAACTGCCCAGCCCTCAGGGGTCAGTGGTTGAGCGTCGACCTATGAACCAGGAGGTCACGTTTCTATTCCCGGTCAGGGCACATGCCCCAGTTGTGGATCCAACCCCAGTAGGGGGCGTGCAGGAGGCAACTGATCCATGATCCTCTCTCACCATTGGTGTTTCTCTCTCTCTCCCTCTCCCTTCCTCTCTGAGATCAATAAAAATGTATTAAAAAAAAAAAAAAAAAAGAACATGCGTTTCCTACTTTTTGGTTGTACAGGTGCCAGACCCAAAAGGGTCTGGGGAAGGTCTTTCCCATCCCATTTGGAAATGTTTTCTACCTAATTAGTGAGCTTGGCTCTCGGGTTCCTGCGCTGCCTGCTCCAGCTGATGGCTGGGGGCCGGACAGGCCCACCCTGGGCGGGACCCGGGAGAATGGCCCTGTTGCTCCTGCTCCACAAAGGATGAACGAGGGGTGGGCGAGCGGCCAGTGGGAAAGCAGATTGGGCCGTATCTCCGCTCTGATCAATGACTAAGAGGGCAGAGGCCCCAGCCAGGGGACTTCACTGAGTCACTCTGGACTTGCCAGGCAGGGAGGGAGCCCACACACCTGAAACCGGGCATGCAAATGGCAGATTCCCAAGGGAAGGACCTGACATAGGATTTCCTTGTGGGTTGATATTCTTTTGCATTTTATTTTATTTATTTACTTATTTATTTATGTATTTATTTTATTTTATTATTTTATTTTATTTTTTATTTATTTTATTTTATTTACTTACTTTATGTATTTATTTTATTTTATTTTATTTATTATTTTATTTTATTTATTTTATTTTATTTTAATTTTATTTATTTTATTATTTAATTTATTTTATTTTATT